AGGCTTTAAGAAAACAAGCAGTGACTCATCTTTAGAGTGTGTTTCTGTCTACAATATGATTTAATCAGCCTTAGTCCAGGCTAGTACAACTGGGTACAAGAGATCAAAGAGACTGCTGGAGTAAGTTGAGTGGATCTTTAGTTCTACAATTGTTCCTTGCATACAACTAATCTTAAAATCAATTGGAGCTCTTATAAAAAAAATTTCAAATGGCACACTAGTTTTCTTAAAGAAATATTCATACAAAGAAGAGCAAAACAAAGTCTTAAGTATTTATAACCAAAATACCCTAGCAGACACCACATAAATTAACAATGGCCAGAATCAGGCTACACCAACATGAATCAAGCATTGGCAGTACCTGACATTTGTTGCAGGATTTCCTGTGTCCATATCAATGGCTGTGTATGTGCCAAGCACATGATTCAATAAGGAATCTCCTCTTATTCCTTCCCGTACTCTAAAAGTCATGGAACTTGGATGAAATGTGGGTCCTTCTCTCACGTTAACAATTTGAATTCTCACAGGGGTTGAGTGCATTCGGAATTGAGAAGCAACCGAGTGGTGAAAATCAGCTTGGTTTTTAACTCCAATACCAAGATTTACATTAGGCACTTGTTCATAATCCAGGGTCTAAAATAATGAAAAGTGAAAAACTCTGAAACAGCCAACAACTCTCTTTTTATAGAAGGAGAAACCAGGACTAAAGCCCAGGAGCTATGCAACTCAGATTTTAAATGGGAAAAAGAGTAATTACTGCATTGGGTATTTTAGCATCTGATTCTTTTTTGCCTTTTGGCATAATCAGGTAGGTATGTAGGTCATTTAAGTCCGTGGCTTTAAATTGGAGTCTAGTTTTGAATTTCTTATACAAAAACCCTTAAACAAATGAACAGTTTATAAAAAATAAAAAATAAATTTAGAATGAAATAAAAAATGTTCACAACCATTGAATGAATAAATCAATAGGACCCAGATTTCCTTTGTAGAACTCACATTTGAGAATCTGTTGGAAGTATGAAGAGCAGATTAAAGGAGTCAAAATATCTGACATAATTAAACAAATAATTATTAAAAAATGACACAAACAGTTCTAAAGAACTTAGGAGTATTATAGTCAGCCCTACACTATAATTTAATTGCACTGGGCCTGGTGGATAAGAAGACTCCTTTATAGAGCTCATTCAAAAAAGTAAATACCACACCCTGAGAAAAATAACCTTTGAACTTGGTTTGCTGGGTGAAAGATGAATAGAATCATTTTATCTAGAGTGACTGATGTGGTGACATGAAAAGTTCCAAGAGAAAAAGCCGTTGCAAACAAGGGAGTGCTGGCCAATGTCTATCCAGATGTGCTCTGGAAGCTAAGGTGAGAATCACTTGCGACACATTTGCCAACAATAAAAGTCAAGATGTCTGTGGTCCCAGAGAAGTTCCAGGACATCATTAATGTTTTACTAGATTTTGGAGTTCAAATTTCCACATGTGCTGATAAGATAGATAGAAATATAAGCAGAAATTCACATGAATTTTTGTTGGGACATGGCTTAGCATGCCTCACTTGAACTTCAGCTAAAACCCTTGAGTTCTAGGATTTTGACTGCTTTTATACATCTGTTGACAGTTGCCACCATAATACAGATGAATGTGCCAGTGCACATAATATGAACTATGGAGCTAAATAGGAATTGCATACTCAAAGATGAGTTTTCAATGGGAAGAGATTCCTGTTCTACAACTCAATTTTTATTTTCTAGAATTCCATGTTATCTTTAAGTAAAATGAAAAATCTGGGAAACTCTATTCTGGTAGAGAAATCCCTTGGGGTTTTCCTATGTGTATATGCACAAATACACTTCTGTTCATTACAGTAGTTCTCTCCCTAATGAACAGACTGTAATGCAAATAGACTAACGTGTGCCTACATTTGTACCTACAATAGGAACTCATGGAATCTAGGGACAGGAAGTTGATTGAGGATCAATATTCTTTTTAGCAGGGAAGATTACAAGGGGGAAACGCAGACATTTGCATTTATTTTTTCCAAGTGGGATCCTTTGTCAAGAATTTTCTGATTGTGTCTAGACATCTTAGGTTTGCAAAGAGCAACAATAACAAACTGTTTATCCCAAAGTGTCTTCTTGGAGTGAATGACTAAATCAGATTCTTAGGACCTAAGGACTTAATTAATATAGTAATTATTTTTGTAAGTTTGATCTTTTCAGAGTTGAGCTCATAAGCCTATTGCTATTTTTTTTTTTAAATTCCAAAGCATTTCTTAGTGTTTAATAAAGGGCTGAAAACTTTTCTTGGTCAAAGTTGTGATAGATTTTGGGAGTTGTGTACAATTTCTGTCTTAGTATTCATCTTAGCCCTTGCAGTATGAAAATAGCTAGAGAAAAATGTATAAATGAATGAATGTACCTGTGTTCCAACAAAAAATTTATTTATAGAGTAGAGAGTTGGCCAGATTTGGCCTATTGGCCAAAGTTTGTTGACCTTAAAGCAACATTCTCAAACAGTAAGGCTATAGTGTATTCTTTGAGTCCTTGTGTTTTCAGAAAGAATTTTAAAATTTTGTGGGTTTTTTTGAATGACAAAAAGTCTATAGAGATATCTTCTATAATTTTGGTGACCCTATCATAAATTAATACACTGCATGATTTCAGTGCATGATTGTATTTTGTTGGCAAAGTAATAATACTTTAAAAATTGCTTCAGGCACTTGAGAAAAGGAAAGATACTTGATGCATAGATGGTGTGTTTATATTAGGTGAAGGCTAAATGGATTCCTAATATACTTTTAAAAAAATTCACAGTAACTTCAACAGAAAAAAGTAGTGACCAAATGGGATAATCACAAGCATATTATGTACCAACCTAAATAGATGTGCCTGTGTGTGTCTGAGTGTGTATTTTCCTGCCTATAAGTGTTGTTTATATTGTTAATGGCAATTTCCTTGGAGAAACAAAATTCCCTCATTATACGAATATTCATGTGATTTTATTGGTTTGTGGTTTTGTTTTTAATTTATCAATGTTTAGATTTCATTGTTGCCCATGAAGTAAAATAATAAAGTAGTTTAAGAAAAAAATATAGGAAAAAGTCACCCCTGAGAGTTCAGTATTCAAGGTTCTCAGCATAATAACCCTATGCGACATCTATATTCCTCCTTCTCTTTCTTTCCTATGTAAAACCTCTGCTTAGCACAGCCTCACAGGGCTCTTATCAGGGACCAAATATGTGTCATGTTTTCTTGCCTCTGTGTGTTTGCTCCTGCCATTATACATAGTAGCAATCTCAGTTACAAGGTCTTGCTTAAATCCTACTCTCTGCTTTTCAGACAAATCTAGCTCAGAAGGATCTCCCCTTCTCATGTCATTAATTAGTTCATATTTCATCCACTTGGCAATCAGTTAAGTTTTATATCATGAAATCTGTACCACTATTTATTATATTGCTAAATTCACAGCTGTTGTTTAATTCAGAGATACTTCCTTTATGTTCTCAAATAGATCTGGGCACTGTGAGAACAAACCAATCTTCTTATTTTTCCTTAGTAATAACTGTATTGTTGGGAGGGAAGGGTCAGACTGACACAGTGGCCTGCTTGAGACACATGTCAATATAAGCTGCATTCAAGGTTTTATGGAGTACTTTAAAGGCAGATTCTGTCACTGAGAATTATTAAAAAATTCTTTGAAAGAAAATATCGCAGATCCCATACTATACCTTGACTACTTTCAAAATGCCTTCGTTGGTACGTGGGTCTGTTTGAATATCAAACCAGTTTCCATCATTTCCAGAAAGGATTAAATATTGTGCCAACCAATTATCGGTGCCTTCTTCATCAAGATCGATTGCTTGTAGTCTCATCAGTTCTGAACTCAAACAATTTTCTTCAATGCTTGCTGAGTACTGAAATGACATGGATTGATTTTATAATCAATGAATTTTCAAAAGCAAAAAGATATTTACTAATACATAGTCATCTTCTAAAATGCTAAAGATGAACTATGTCAATGAGTTTGTACTGTTGTTAAATGGCAAATGTCCAATCATAAATAAAAGAATTAAATAATTCTAAGATAGTAAAATAGATTTTCATGTACTGCATGTGAAATCAAGATCAAATTGGCACTCTCTCATTTTGTCTTGATTTTAGAATTCAAATGATTGTCTTCATCTGCATCTGTGGCACATAGCTTTATCACCAGTGCATACAGAAATAAAGATAATGGTGGAAAATGGCTGGGAATTCCATTAAAATTAGTTCAGCAAATCAGTAGACATAAAAAGGAAGAATGGTTGAACTTCTGAATTCTCTTCATTAGAGTTTTCTATGAGTGTGTGTCTGAGTGTGTATATTTTTATCAACAGTATATTTTTATCGACTCCATTCCTTTCTGTTAGATAGGGATCAGATTTTTTTTCTGTAAAGGGCTGATAACAAATACATTAGGTTTTATGGCCCAGAAAAATCCCTTTTTTTTGCCTCTGTGGTTGAAGCACAAGGTAGCTACAGACAACATGGAAAAGAATGATCAATAAAATACATTTTTACAAAAACAGGTGGCAAGTCAGATTTGTCCCTGATATTTTACATTTTACGTTTTTATGCCTGAATATGAAAATTGAAGTTGAGACTGCTTGGGATTCTGGTGGAATTAATTCAGCCAACCATGAGTCATATATGAACATATTACTATTACATTATTCTGATTTATATCAACGAATTTATACATTTCTGTGAGGAGAGTATATGGAGTAGATAGTTCTTGCTTTCAGATAGATTTTCTTTGAAATATTGAGTTAAAAATAAACATATAGAGGCTAGGGTTGTGGCTCAGTGGTAGAGCGCTTGCCTTGCATATGCAAGGCACTGGGTTCATTTTCCCCAGCACCACATAAATAAACTAAATAAACAAAATAAAGGTATTATGTTCATCTACATCTAAAAATATTTAAAAAATAATTTAAAAAGATGAATATATAACATTAAGTTATATTATACATAAGAAATTCAGAGTCCATCCATACAAGTGACAAAACCAGGCTCATGAACTAACTAACTAATCGAAAGCAAATCGATTACTGATACTTATGGAAGAATGATAATAAGAATATCCACTTACTGAAGTCTTCTCTAAGATGGGGAAATTATCATTGACGTCCAAAACCTTGATTCTACAGTCACACTCAGAGGACAGGCCATCTTCAGCTCCATCACGGTCAGAGCCCCGCACAAGTAGGTTGTACATACTGTGTTGCTTAATTAAGATGAAAAAAAAATTGTAAGACCTAGATCTTGTCTTGAATAGAATCCAACATATTACAGTGCCAATTTCTGTCTTTTTAAAATATCCACATTAAATAAAATCTATATGAGTAATCTTTTAATTTTCATTAAAAATGACTGGAATTGTTTTCCATCCCTCCTTCACATGGGATTAAGGGCAGACATGGATCATTTCATCTTTGCCTCTTCATAACTGAATTCTTTATTTCTTATCATTCCATTCACAGAAGGCTTTACCTCTCTGTCAAGGAAACTGGACATGGTGCGGACTTCTCCAGTGTACCTGTTCACAATGAACATTGGTGCACCTGCAGGCTCCTGAGAGATGATCTTGTAGGCGATTTTAGAATTTAAATGATTGTCTTCATCTGCATCTGTGGCACTTAGCTTTATCACCAGTGCATCTAGAAATAAAGATAATGGTGGAAAATGGCTGGGAATTCCATTAGAATTAACTCAGCAAATCAGTAGACATAAAAAGGAAGAGTGGTTGGACTTCTGAATTCTCTTCATTCGAGTTTTCTATGAGAGTATATTCCATAACTCACAGCTATACTGGTGATTACTAATACAGCAGATTTGCTTATATGAAACTTACATGAAATTTTCTACTATTTATAAAGTACTTTACTAATTAAATGATTAAATGGTAAATTAGTAAATATAGTGCTCTTTAGTGTGTGAAAAAGAGTGCAGAGACTATCAAAAGTCAAAGGAAGTGATTGTGTCAGTTTCAATTTTTTGCTATGGTCTCGTGAAACTATTTTAAAATGCCCAATTGAGAAAGATTATAACTTAGTTAAATTCAACATTGCAATTATTTACTGAGCACCCACATTCTTAATTGTCACTCACCTAGAAAGCAGAGAATTACTATTGGTTACACTGGAAGATAATAGCACTTTACTAAGCAGTCAAAAATACATAATTACTGAAAAGATTTGCTCATAGGAATATAAGACATTTTAAATTATTCACAGAGACAAAGAACAGGCATCCCAAGCCAATCCCCAGGGACAGTAGTGCATGGGGCACATTTTCCAGAGTTGACAGATTCCCTAACATACTTTTGCTTTGCAGGTCCCAAAGTAAAAAATCTTACCCCAGATAACCAGGGAGGCCTTGAATAGAAAGAGCCAGGATTCAACCCATCACAGTCTAAATGCAGGTTGTGCCCTGGCCCTGCAGTCTTTAGCCAGTAACTACTCTCTCTGGAGGAAGCATTAACGACTTCTTTTTTTTAGCTTGTGATTTTTAAAAAAATTCTAATTTGTTATGTATGACAGCAGAATGCATTACAATTCATATTACATATATAAAGCACAATTTTTCATATCTCTGGTTGTACACAAAGTAGAGTCACACCACTTGTGTTTTTATACGTGTACTTAGGGTAATGATGTCCATCTCATTTATGATCTTTCCTACCCCCCTGCCCCTTCCTTCCCCTCCCTCCCCTTTGCTCTATCTAGAGTGCATCTAACCCACCCATGCTCCCCACCCAACCCCATTATGAATCAGCATCCTTATATCAGAGAAAACATTCGGCATTTTTTTTTTTTTTTTTTTTTGGAATTGGCTAACTTCATTAACAACATCTCATCAGCAAGGTGGTTACTTGGCTGAAGGTATTGCCTTCTCTTTTTCACCAAGGTTGTCCTGAAGTATGTCATCAAGGAAGCACTCTCTGTTTTGCCTCCTTTTGGCAAATCTTTCTCTCTGCCTCTTTAGGTTCTCCTATCTTTTACATTAAAAAACATTTTGTGTTTATCTGCTTTCCTTCTGAAACTTATTTTTTTTCCCCCAACATTTCCCTCCAAATGGACTTAGAGGTATTTTGGCAGGATTTGTAAGGGAAAGGGATGTTAGAGGACTGTGTGTGAGGAAGAGGAGTAGCCAGCACCATCACTCTGTCCTGGTGTGGTTCAGCCAATAATTTTGAGGACAGACCAGAAAGGGGCCTTATTGAACATTCATGATTTCTTCCTCAGGTTACTCTTGTGGAACTCAGTTCACCGTGAACCCCTGAATACTTGAGAAAGGTGCAAGCACTGGCTTAATTGCATGTGTAAAAATACCTAAAAATAAGAGGATATTTAGTATTTTTAGGCATGAGTTCTTTTCTGAGTTTTCAGTTATAAGTTTGTGGAGTTTACTCAAAATGCAAGTTGAGCTCTTTCCGATCTTTAAGTTACCAATATCTTTAAGTTTCATTTTCCAAAGCTTTTGATGAAAGGAGTTAGATACGGTGTAAAGTAGAGAAAGGACATCTTCTGACTCACTGGCGTCACTGTTTTCTTCAATGCTGGCTGTGTACACGTTCTGTGTGAAGACCGGGGGATTATCATTTATGTCCATAACTTTGACTCTGAGCTCCAGCGGTCTCTCTAAATCTTCACCCCGTGAATTCAGAGCCCGGCAATAGATCTGTGGAAAGTTGAGAAAAACAACAACAACAACAACAAACCCAAAATTGACATTCTCCACCAAAGGAAAGAAAGTAACATGTTTGAAAGTGCAGGCTGAAATATGTAAAGAAACAACTTTTTACTGAAGTCAGACCATATTGTCGTCTACAATTAAAATGTCATCAAGACATTTGGTCATGTGATACTGCAACACACAAGAGAATCTTGCATTATAAACATACATTTTCACTTTTCCCACTCCCTCACGTCTTTCATTTGTTTCAATTTAGTGTTTTATCAAAAGTAAGCCATATGCCTGAAATGATTTAATTTTTTTTCTTTCTTTAGTTGTAGATAGACACAATCACTTTATTTATTTATTTTTATGTTTTGCTGAGGATCAAACCCAATGACTTACATGCTAGGCAAGTGCTCTACCACTGAGTCACAACCTCAGCCCCCCAGCCGCTGAAATGATTTTTTTAAAAAAATAATATGAATAAATCTCAACGCACTGCTGTGGCTTACCAAGAAGAGTGGAGTTATCTCTCTGTCCACCACCGAAGTGATGTTAATTTCCCCAGTGCGAGGATTAATGGTGAACACCCCATAAGGTGGCCGATCAATCCCTGCTCCGGAGATTCGGTATGTGATCTTCTGGTTCACTTCGCAGTCTGATCGAATCTATGAGCAAAGTGGTTAGGATTATGAAAGCAAATCATGATCCTCAGAATGTCTTGAAATGAAAGCAAGTGGGAATTGTAGACAGATGGTCTTTGGTTTGAGAGCACAAGACTTATTCAAACATCAGCTCTTGGTGAGGACAACAATATTACTTGATAGGCTAGTTGGGGGGTTGTATGAAATGATTATACAGCCCCAGTGAAAAGTATATGTGCACATGGGATACACACTTGATACTAGATTTGTTATATTAGCAATACGTTCAATTCTGATTTTGTTTTTATAGAGGCAATCTGATAGAAGAAATCAGAATTGTCAGCATTTAAAAATGTGTTATATTAATAAGTACCATGCTTAGATTTGAGATTTAGCCAAAATGGCAGATAAATTTTCAAAAATTGGAAGAGAAATACAATGTTTAGAAAATTTAAAAAATTTAATTTATTGTGTCATTCTTCTTCCAAATAGATTTTATGGTCAATATTCTACCATATGGATTTTTTTGGGGGGCACAGTGGATTGAACCCAGGGGGCACTTTACCACTGAGCTACATCCTCATTTTGAAACTTTATCTGTATACTAAACTTTATCTAATCTGGTAAAAGATTAGTATTTATTATCCAAACAGCTACAATTAATTAAAGTCAGTGAAGAATATATTCAGTTAGCTCAGGTCTATTCCATATGTACAAGAAAACTCAGAAATATCCACAATGCAAATAAAAAAGAATGTGCAATATGAGGAGAATAATATAAAGGTGTAACTGTGAATTTAATGAAAATACAAATGATAATTTAAAAATAATAATTTAAAAGCTTTCTCTAGCCCCTATTGTTGAGGGTCTTGTTAAATTGCCCTGGCTGATCTTAAATTTATGCTTCTCCTGCCTTAGCCTCCCAAGTAGCTGAGATTATAGGTGTGTGCCACTTTGCCTAGTTTTATTTCTTGAGCTGAGGTTACACCTATAACCTCATTGCTAATACTTACTCTATTTGTTGTTGTTGTTGTTGCTGTTCATTTGAATCTAAGGGAACTCCATCACTGAGCTACATCCCTAGCCCATTGAAAAATTTTGAGACAGTGTCTTGCTATGTTGTCCAGGCTGGCCTTGAACTTGCAATCTTGTTGCCTCACCCTCCTGAGTATCTGGGATTATTGGCATGTACCACCATGTCTGGCTGATACTTTATTTTTAATGTAAAGCTGTAAAGCAGGAATTTTGGTAGATAAATCTGCTGGTGATTTCAAATTTAGTCCAAGGTCAAGAGAGCCAGAAAGAGCTAGCAAAGTTGTTAATGTGGATCCTAGTCTGCATGGATTGTTCAATTACATATGATTCTTTCTTTAGCTCTCCTTCCTTATTGGTAGACATTGTTTGTGAAAGCTTTTTAATTTTTTTTAAGCTTTTTTTTCTCTTCTCCTTTTCAGTATTAAACCCTAGCTTGCATACTAGGCAAGCTGTCTCCTATTAAACTACATCCTCAGCAACCCCCACCATTTTTCCACGAGACAGTGTTTCCCTATGTTGACCAGGCTGGCCTCACACTTGTGATCTTCCTGCCTCAGCCTCCTGAGTAGCTGGGAAACAGGAGGCACCATCAGGCTTGACTTGTAAAGGCCTTTTAATATCCTTGTACCTCCTGGTTGTAGAGATCTGATGGGAACATTTCTGATGTCATCTTTATTTGCTTGACTTAATCAAAAGCGATACACCCTTGATTTTTTTCAAGATATAGTCTTCAGACTATCATAAATTTCCTATAACACAGACATGTAGTTATGAGCAGCACACAAACACATAAAATCCACTGGTGCTAGAGATCAAGTCTTTCTTCTTGGCCAAGTCAAGTCTTTCCACTTGGACTCTCTGTTCTGTATCAGCCCCCAGCACGTGATACTCAAAAAAGTGCCTCAGCAACACAAGCCATGACTGCATACCATCTTTTTAATTCACCATGGACACTGAAGACTGCAAATGTTCTAGAGCTTTCCGGCACAAAATCATTGCGATCAGCTCAGGATATTCCCACTTGTCATCACTTACTCTGGCGATTGGATTCCTCTTCGAGTTGTCCTCTCCTTCTCGACAGGCAGCTGCAAACTTGATCCACTCCCGTTTTTGTCTTCTGACAGTTTGCCACGTTGTCGTGCCATTTTCAATGTCTAATTCTTTCACCTTAAGCAAAAATGGTTCATATTTCTTATAGTGTTAAAACACTTTTACTTAGGATAGACATGCATTTAACACTGTCGGGAGCATCCAGAAGAAACAACTGTGTTGAATTTGAGGAACAAAGGGATTTTTTTTTTTAACTTAATCACAACTCTGGAAAGATATAACTTGCCTACCTCTGACTACTACTTATTTTGGTATCATCTTACTTTTAACTATAAGACTCTAGTGCAACAGATTTCATTAGCTGTCTGTGTACTCAAAATGGACATACTTCATCATATGGTGGAGTTTTTCTCTTATCTAGCCTCACCAGGTAGAGGCCTTTCCTACCTCACCCTTCCTTGAGCTCTGACCAGACTTTACCAACTCTAGAGTGCAGATTGTCACTGTTTCATGTGAGTATGTCCCTTAAAAAGTGGTAGTTAGATAGTTGTGCTCAGCTAAAAGAGGGAAGGTATTTTTTTTTCTGTTGATAAGACACCACTGTGGCTAAGCATCCAAATATGTTATCACAAAATTAGAAGAATATTGTTAAATGATGGGACCAGAAATAATCTCTTGCATGTCTTTATGGCTTCTCAGTTTTGTATATTTGTATCTCTGCTTGCTATATGTTTGTCCCTTTATAATTTCATGTTACAATTGTTGGTGAGTGCTTAACAATTTTATACTAACTACTGCAGAGTTTAGAAATGCTACTACATCGAAAACATATACATAATGTGAATTTATTTTTGGAAGTTCTAATGTCTTTATTGAAGCATAAGCGGTTATGTGTTTACTTAAGCTAAGACTTTAATTACCACTTTTGGGGAAGCAGATGTTCTGTATAAATGGAGCTTATTTTTTTTTCAAGAACTATTGCATTTACACTTAATTTTAATACAATTTCATGAAAGGTATACATATTTCCTATTTTGTAAATAGAAATTAGAAAAGTAATTTCATCTTTTCCAATGATTAGAGATAATTATAATGAAAATTAACTATGATAATAAAATTAAGCACCAACAGAGAATAGGAGAGTAGGTTTATTTCCTGACTGACTCCCACTGTGTGTGTGTGTGTCTGTGTGTGTGTGTGTGTGTGTGTGTGTGTGTGTGTGTTTGGTGCTGGGGATTGAACTTATAGCTTCATTCATACTAGGCACTGGCCGCTGAGCTACATCTCCAGCCCTGTGGATCTCACTTGAAAAGGTACCACATTATTTATTGGCTTAGTTAGTGATACTTAAAAACGTTTTTTATTTTTAATCTTTCCCTCATTCATAGACCATCAACTGTCATTCTTGTTGATGTGTCTAAAACTCCTCTTCCATTCTAAAATGTTTCTTTGCTTCTTTTGCTGTGCCATTGGTTGGGGGACATGTAAATAAGCTACTAACATAGTCTGATGAGTAGGTGTCACTACGGGAGACACTGAGCTGACACAAACCATGCTCTAAATAGAAATTTGGGAGTCTGGGTTTTGTCATTACAATTTAAATTTGGTTGAGGTTATATCTCTTAATTTTGATCTGGATGTCTTACAGATTCAAACATTCTAATTTTTGATATATGATACATTATAGAATCCAGCTTTCTTTTAATTTTATGTAGAGAAAATAATTTTATCATACATTACCTCGACAATAAATTCGCTGTTTACTTCCAGCACCACCTGTCATGGAAGGCACAGTATTAGCAAACATTTTCATATTTAGTGCTATAAAAGCATTGGTAGTATTTTTCATTAACTTATTTCTTAAATATATATTTAACTACTAATACAGAATAAACTTGAGTAATAGAAAATGGATAAGACTTTCCAATTTAGAAGGCATTTAAACTTTTAGGGAAGATGAAAGAATAACTCTTCAGTAAGACATGATAAGATACCTGCTTCAATGGAGGCACCTATGGGCTCAAAGAAAGGGTAAAATAGGCAACTGAAGGTATCAAAACAAATTTGAGGGGGGCTTCATAGGGAAGTGGAGTTCTGAAGAGAATTGCAGGATGAAGCTGTTTGGATAAGAGGAATTAATAAGGAAGAATATTTTAGCTAGAGTAAAACCACAACACATGGAAAGGTACAAAGCTTCAGAGGATGTTATAGAAATGGTAAATATTAGGGGGAAGGTAGAGGTGTCGTGGAATGAAGTTTGGAATGTCAGTTTGAAGGAAGATCAGGAAGTGCTTTATGCAACAGGCTAAGTAGCTTGAATTTAACTGGATAGAGGCTGGGAGTGACAAAAACATTGCCTTTAAAACATTGATATAAGGGAAGATTACAAAAGAATGCCCTCAAGACACTTAGGAATTATCAATGGATTAGGTAAGATGTATTTAGAACAGGATCCTCAGTGCTGCAATGGCACTGGAGAGAGAAGGAGATATCACCCCAACACTGATAGGGCTTATAGACCAAGGGATTTGAGGGGAGGAAAAGTCAGATGATTCTGGTGACTTTAGCTTAACTTTCTGGAAGAAGAGAAGTACTATTAACAGAAATGGAAAATTCAGCAGGAGACTATTACTGCAGGAAGGCGATAGTTTAAGTTTGTTCCATTGTTTTTCAAGGCACTTCTAATATCAGAGACAGATACAAAACCTGAAAACATGAAAGTTTTCCAAACAGCCTTGTTTGAAGTTGAAAGAAATGAGGACACAAAATCAAACATTTTAAGAAGATAAATGGAATGAAGAGAGAATAGAGTCTTGCTTACTCTCTGGCAAGGAACTATAGGAAGAAGTCTGAAGGCAGAGGGCTTTGATTGAGGACAAGACACCCTGGGTGGGCTCAGAGCAGGTTCTTAGTGTAAGAATATTGAGAAATGTGGAGGATTGGTATAGATGCAGGGTTTAGAAAGGAGAGGAGATTGGATAAGGAGGCAGAAGGAGTGCAGTGCTAAGAAGTCAGACAAACAAGGGCTATTTAATGGTTTATGTGCTGCAGCAAAGTCAAGGAGAATGGGAACTGACAACCCTGGGATTTTAAAGCAGGCAATCATGGCTCACTTTTGCAAGTGGCATGCATCACATTGCAGGAAGTCAAGAAATTAAGTGAGGAGGAAAGTAGAAATAGCGATCATAGATTATATTTTGAACAAGTTAGCATGAAAAAGAAATATAAGAGGTTTGATGCACTTCAAGGTCTCATTAAATCCAGGAGTAATTTTTTAGTTTGGAAAACCATGACCAAATATATAATCTATGGGGATAGGAGAAAGGGTTTATGGGAAAAGAATGGTAGAATGAGAGGAGAGAAAGGGAGAGGAGGAGGAAGAGGAAGAGGAGGGAGAGGAGGAGGAGGAAAAGAAGTAGTAGATACAGTTGTGATTAAGAGAGAGTAGGAGTGGTTAAACTAAAAGTACAGGTAAATGATAATAACGAGAAAGAATATTTCCTCCTTTGGAATGGAATGTCAACATATATATGATATTTATGTGTTATAAAATACACACGTATATCATATATAAAATATATATATAACACTTCAAAAACCAACAGAAGAATACAACAGAGATAAAAAACTGTCATGAGGTGTAATTGGTGGAAAATTACTTACATCTCTATTCCCTAGCTTTGTGGTGAGCAAGAATGAGGAGGATTAGAGGTGACTGTCAACAGTTTCTAGAAGTCTTTAGGGAAGTGACAGGAAGCTACCTAAATGCCATGGGATGGAGGAGAGAGGTAGGCCCACCCTGTATTGTTGAGTTAGGAAACATTTGAGCTCAGAATACTAGAAACAGAAACAAAACTATTATTCTATGGTTGGTGAAGATTTGTGGCGAAGCTGAGATGAGGAAGTAAGAATAGAATACTTATTTCTCCTGTTTGTTGACTTCTCTGTAGAACTTGGTAAACTGGGAGTAGGGAGAGGAGGACACGAGGACTGTCCTGGGGTTGGGGATGGTGGTGGAGGCAGAGTGGAGAGTTAGGGAAGAGATGAGGTACTACTGTGAACTCCAGCCAGTTGGGGAGCAGAGTGAATCTGGGGAGCTCCTGTGAACTGAGGCTGGAGATTGGACAGGTGGAGTGGGCCAGAGCAGATTCTGCAGTGGGGGTGGTTGTAAGAGGGAGCAGAGGGAGAGTATGGGCAGGATTTGTCATGGCAAAAGGTAAGTCCAGAAGGGACCAACAGAGATGAGGAATTTGTTGGTAAGAATTGAGTCTCTTCTTAACTCACTTTCTCACATAAAATTTTACTAGATATGTGTAAAATATCTAGACCTGGGAATGAATATCAATATTTACTAGATCATATTATTTGGTTGCATAGAATATGCTATTTTATGGGTTAAATTTTTGACCTTTTGGGGGTTAAATTTTTGATGTTAGAAAAGCAGATGATTCTGGAAGATACAAGAAAAAAATCATAGGATCTCATGAACAGGAGTTAGCAATTTTTTGTCACATTTTTTCTTTGTAAACCCATACTTTCACAAACTAATTTTTTTTTGGTCTGGGGATTGAATGCAAAGTTGCTTTACCACTGAGTCACATCCTCAGCCCTTTTATCTTTTTTTGAGACAGGGTCTCATTAAGTTGCTTTAGGGCCTTGCTAATTACTGAGGCTGGCCTCAAACTTGGGATCCTTCTACCTCAGCCTCTTGAGTCACTGGGATTACAGCCATGTGCCACCATGCCCAGCTAATTTTTTTTTTTAAATCAAAAGAAACCATGTATATTGAATTTTTAAATTTGCCTTTGCACTCAATGGCTAACATGGTAAGTTCTGTGTCCATGCATACATATAGACTTATGTTTCAATGTTGCCTTATGTATCATTTAGTAGTAGCTGTCTTTCATCTGGTCACTGGGACTTTAGGGTAACTGAGAACCAGTACCTTGAGCAGTTCATGCTGCAACACTAGACTCTGACATGCAGTTCTCAGGAAACTCCTTCAGTGAGAGGTGAACTGGAAGCCCTGCTTTGGTGAATGCCAGGTTGGTGAGCTCAGAGCACGTGAGCCCTTTATTAACAAGAGTCTTCCTGTCTTCATTTTTGGCTCCACAATAGTTTCTGTTTCCTCCCTTTTCTTCTCCACTGCTCTCTTTCTTTCTCCTCTTTGATATTCTCTTCCAGTTGTTCCCTTCTTCCTTCCTGATCCTGTCTCTGATCTGATGGAACCACGGTAACATCATTATGTTGCTTCCCTCACCCACCCTGACATGGGCAAGCTGGGCTGCAGAACTTCAGAGCTAATAATCTAATATTAAACAGTGAGAGTGAGTCTTTGCTGGGTTCTCTCTTAATTCAATTAGAGATGTGAAAGGTAATTTTCACTCTATGGTGGAACGCATTCTCTCTGTTGTTTCTGCCTATTTACAATAAGCCTACAGGTTTATACTGTATCCATGAAGTATTAAAACAGCAACTGAGAATGGGCCCAAGTCCCCATCCTACTCATTATTATATTTTTTAACACCTAAAACTGTTTTTTTTTTGAATTAACGAATATTACCTTACCAAACTGTTCTGATTTTGTTTGGATATTTGTGTCATGTAATTGTGCCCCTTGCTCTGAATAAATTTTGATGTTTATGTTGACTGGTACTGATATTATCTTTGCAAAGACTTCCAAAATTTTGCTCATGAAAACTTGAGACATTCTGAAATGCATTAAAGAAATGAACAAATGATCTGAGCAGACAATTCTCAAAAAATGAAATACAAATGGCTAATAATGATATTTTGAAATATTCAACTTAGCCACCTAGGAAATGAAAAATAAAAACAACCTTGCAATTTCACCCCACAGTCAGTATGGCTATTATAAAAATAAATAAGTAAATAAATAAATAACCAATGTTGATGAAGATGTGGGGGAAAAAGAATCCTATATCTGGTTGGTGGGAATACAATACTAGCATAACCACTATGGAAAACGGTATGAAGATTCCTCAGAAAACTAAAAATAGACATACCATACGATTTAGCCACACCACTCCTGGGTGTATACCCAAAGGAAGTGAAGTCAACATATAAAATAGATACCTGCATAACTATTTTTATTATGGCATTTTCATAACAGATGAATGGAAAAGAAAACATAGTACCTATGCACAATGGAATATTATTCAGCCATAAATAAAAATGAAATCATGTCATTTACAGGAAAAAGAATGGAACTGAAGGTCATTGTGTTAAGTGAAATAAGCCAGACACAGAAAGACAAGTATCACATGTTTTCTTTCACATGTGGAAAAAAAAAAAGAAAGAAAGAAGATGGCTTGAAAGAAGAAGAGGAAGGAAAGGCAGGTGGGGAGGGAGAGTGGAGAATACAATCAAAGAATAATAACTGTGTGTGACAGAAATGTCACAGTGAAATCCAAAAATCTGTATAATTAATGTGAGTTAAGAGTTATAGTAATAAAAACTGAATAAAGAAATTATCCTTGCTTTTCCCCAAAAATAGAGCAACAAAAATTTTTTTTGAAAAGAAGATGTGCTTCTTTATATTTTTCTATGATAGCTAAATCTTGTCTTTTGATGCCAAGTATCATCCATTTGAATAAGAAAAGTTACTAAGTTCTTTAACAGTCAGCATTTATTTTAC